CCTCCTGCCTCCTCCCAAGAGGGAGTAGGGATTGTGCTGGGCGCGCAGCTGCAATCCGTGCACGGCGGGAGCTCAGTTGTGATGGCGGCAGGTACCCGTGGTCGGTGAGACCTTCCAGGGAAAGACTGGGTGACCCGTGACCAGTCTGGCAACTTTCCTTCCCTGTGGGGTTTTTTTGCAACTGGGACTGGCAGCCTCAGGCACCCTTGTACCCACCTACGAGCCTGGGGAAGTGATCCGGACAAGCAGGCTTGTGGCACCAGCCCGGAGACCGAAAGCCTGTGTTAGCCGGGTTCTCTTCCGGGTTCTGGCTGGGCAGCCGAGAGTGGACCCGACCGATTCCCTCGCCATGGGAGCCTCCCCTCACCTGGGAAACACGATCGATCGCTGTTGTTTTAGGGCCCAGAGTTCAGTCTCCTGGTCACTACATGGAGTGTGTTATCCCGCTTCTCAGACAGGGTGTTCTCCCGGTGCCGCCATCTTGGCCCCTCCCCCACATTATTTCATTCAGCCACTTATTTGTGTTTTCTTGAATCAATCAAGATTTCATTTATGTCCACCATAAAATTTTTAGTGCATTTTTCAGGAATTTGTAGTTCTTCTCTCATCTTCACAGTTATTTTTTGATTCAGTGTCTCCAGTTTCACCTAAATTGCTCTCACTGGGGATGACTAGAACAAGTTGGTGGTTTGGGGATGCAGCATACTGTGCTGAGTTTTATTATTATTATTTTTCCTATGAGACCTTCCATCTCGAGTTCGGGTGATGGTTGTGTCTTTGATATGAGATTTTAGCTCACTGAATGCTGTATCCTGAGTTGAAGCTACAAGGTGATGGATAGGAGAGTTCAGAAAGTGTGGAATCACATCGGAGCTGGCTCACTCTTACTGAGTAAGACGGGGGACTGAGACCTTGAAGACAGAGTTCCTGGGTGGAAGGTGATGGACTCGTGTGGGGTCTGGCTCTCCTATCCTGAGACCAACCCAATGGACTGGGACCCTGGCAGTAAAGGTCTTGAGATGTGAGCAGAAAGCACTGGAAACATTGAACTGAAAGAGGTAAGGCTCTCAAAAGTGGTCTGCCTGGCCTGTTCATGAAGGTTAGAAGATATATTTACTTATGGACATTGATTACCACTTCTGTTGACACACGTGTATAAACCTATGATTTACTTCAATAGTACGAACTCCTGTGAAATTAGTCCTGCACATTCAGATGACTAGTGAGTGTGTAAAGAGCCTAATATTCACAGCATAGAGAGAGAGAGAGAGAGAGAGAGAGAGAGAAAAGAAGATAGTTTTAATCAGCCCACCTGCCGTAAGAATAACCTTTAACCATATACTTTCAAAATCAAATCCCTTGAGTGAGGTTTTCCTGTCATTTTAAGAGACACAATTTCATATCAACTTTCCTGGTCCTCTGACATCTTTAGTCCTTATACTCTATCTTCCACGCTGTTTCCTGAGCCTTAAGTGAAGGAGTTATGTGGAAATATATTGATGATGACTGGCCACCTTACTTGTTTTCTGAACCTAAAAAAGACCTGAAGAAGCGCAACACCAAGAGACTTGCTAACATGGAAAGGGGAATTCTCACAAAACCCCAACCATAAACAAACAACTCCAGGCAAGTAAGAAGTGCTGAGAGTAAGAAACAATCCTCCATGGTATGGAGCCCCTAATTCATTACCATCAGCAAATAATCAGCCCTGAATTTATATACTTATACAAGTAACACTTAACAGAATGAGCAGATCTGTATTTATGTAGTTAGGCAAGTGTGAGTGGGTGTGTGGGTGTAATAATAACCTACAAAAAGAAACTATGATTTTGAGAGAGCAAGGGTACATTCACGGGAGGATTGGAGGAAGAAAAAGGAAGAAGGAAGCGATATAATTATATTCACTTGTTAAAAAGAAAATGAATAGCTTTTCTCAGCTGCAGCTGAGATGCTCCGTCTTTCAGAGGAAGTCAATGCCACATTGGGGTGAGGCCTTCACTTCATCTGGCAACTAGCACATGTCAAGAGTCCACAACATGGCGTCCATCTCCAAGCTCACCTGCATCTACTCTGCCCACATTTTGAATGACAAAGAATTGATAGTCATGGAGGGTCAGATCAATGCCCTCACTGAGGCAGGCGGTGTCAATGCTGAACCTCTCTGGCTTGGCTTATCTGTAAGGCACAGCCAATGTCAATACTGGAAGCCTCATCTGCAACCTGCAGACTAGTGGGCCTGCTCCACCAGCTGGAGCTGCTCCAGCAGGTGTACTGCCCCTCCACTGCTGCTGTCCCTGCTGAGGAAAAGAAAGTAGAATCAAAGAAGGAAGAAGATGGAGAGTCTGATGATGACATGGGCTTTGGTCATTTTAAAAATTAATTAATTTATTTACTGAATACAATTTATTCACTTTGTATATCCCCACTGTAGCTCCCTCCCTCATCTTCTCCCAGTCCCACCCAACCTCTCTTCTTGCTCTATAACCTTTCCTTATTCCCCTAATAGGGGAGGACCTCCTCCCTTTCTCTCTGACCCTAGCCTATTGGATTTCACAGCAAGGCTGGCTGCATCATCTTCCTCTGTGGCCTGGCAAGGCTACACTGCCCAGGGGGAGGTAATCAAAGAGCTGGCCAATGAATTCATGTCAGAGACAGCTCCTGTTCCCCTTACTAGGAAACCCACTTGGAAATCCTGTGGGCTTCCTCTGAGCAGGGGGTCTAGGTCCTCTCAATGCATGGTACTTGGTTGGAGTATCTGTCTCTGCAGGTCCCCTTGGGCCCAGGTATTTTGGCTCTCCTGGTCTCCTTGTAAACTTCCTGTCCCCTCCATGTCTATCTCCCTCTTGTTCCATAAGGTTTCCTGAACTCTACCCAAAGTTTGGCTATGTGTGTCCATATCTCCTTTGATATTCTGATGAGTAGAGTCTTTCAGAGGCCCCCCTGTGGAAGGTCCCTGTCCTGTTCCTTGTCTTCTCCTACTTCTGATGTCTATTCTGTTTGCCCTTCTGAGTGAGGTTTCAACCTCTTCCCTATGGTCCTGCTTGTTGTTTAGCTTCTTTAGGACTGTAGATGTTAGTATGTTTATCCCTACTATTTGACTAATATCCATGTATAAGTGACTATCTATCAGATATGTATTTCTGCTTCTGGGTTACCTCATTCAGGATGATCTTTTCTAGTTCCCACCATTTGCCTGCAAATGATTTCCTTGTTTTTAACTGCTGAGTAGTATTCCATTATGTAAATGTACCACAGTTTCTGTATCCATTCTTCAGCTGAGGGACAGCTAGGTTGTTTCCAGATTCTGGCTATTATGAATAAAGCTGCCACAAACATGGTTGAGCAAATGTCCTTGTTGTATGGTTTAACATCTTTCAGATATATGCCCAGGAGTGGTATAGCTGGATCTAGAGGTAGTACTATTTCTAATTTTTTGAGAAAGTGCCAGATTGATTTCAAAGTGCTTGTACAAGGTTACATTCTTCACATCCTCTCCAGAATGTATTGTCACTTGAGTTTTTGATTAGCCATTCTGATTGGTCTGAATTGAAATCTAGGGGTTGTTTTGATTGGCATTTCACTGATGACTAAGGATGTTAAGCATTCTTTAAATGTTTCTCTGACAAAATTTGATAATCCTCTGTTGAAAATTCTGTTTAGCTCTGTACCCATTTTTTAAATGGATTACTTGATTTTTTGCCTTTTAATTTATTGACTTCTTTATATATTCTGGATATTACACCTCTGTCAAACGTAGGGTTGGTGAAAATCTTTTCCCAGTCTGAAGGCTGTCATTTTGTTCTGATGACAGTGTCCTTTGCCTTATAGAAGCATTTCAGTTTCATGAGGTCCCATTTATTGATTGTTGATCTTAGAGCCTGTGCTGTTGGTATTTTGTTCAGGAAGTTGTCTCCTGTGCCAATGAGGTCAAGACACTTCCCTACTTTTTCTTCTAACAGATTTAGTGTATCTGTTTTTATGTTACAGTCTTTGATCCACTTGGACTTTAGTTTTTTGCAGGGTGATAAATATGGGTCTATTTGCATTTTTCTACATGTAGACCAGCACCATTTGTTGAAGATGCGGTCTTTTTCCATTGTATGGTTTTGGTTTCTTTGTCAAAATTAAGTTTCTGTAGGTGTGTTGGTTTATTTCTGGGTCTGCAATTCTATTCCATTGATCCACTAGTCTGTTTCTATGCCAGTACCATACCATTTTAATTACTGTTGCTCTCTAGTACAGCTTGAGATCAAGTGTAGAGATAACCTCCAGAAGAGCTTTTATTGTACAGGATTGCTTTAGCAATTCTGGGGATTTTGTTTTTCCATATGAAGGTGAGAATTATTCTTTCAAGGTCTATAAAATATGTTTGCCCTCCCCCAAGCACTGAAACTCTTCTGAGGCAAGCCAGAGAGCCAGCTGCCCCCTTTGCTGCCCAGAGTTCATCTTCCATTCCACCTTTGTTCTCCTGTTCCAACTTTGCTTCTCCTCTTGTGTTTGAGCCTCAGCCTGATCTTATTAACAACAGAAGAGTGCTCTCTTTATGCCCTGCAAGCCCCTTTCTTCTGCGTGCTTGTGCTACAGGCATGGCTCTGTCCTCTTTTCTTCTTTCCCTTCCTTCTCAATATGAATCCCAAGACTGAGGACATTGGGTTCTCCTGTCACTTCTCCCTCCATAGTTTCAGAAGACATTATGCAGAAGCCTCTTTTCCTGGCACAAATAAGATACCGATAGTTCTACCAGAGAGCTGTGGAAGAACACGTGGAGGACAGGCTTCCTTACTCACACAGCTTTGCTGTGAGGCTCCTTCAGCTCTGCATGAGGCACATGCTCTTGCATCAGATTTTGGGTTAGTCCCAGTCTAGACTTGAGTATGGAAGAGTCTACTTCTTGCTCTTCTGCCATGGCTATTTGTGTGATGTTTGTGCCAATCAGAGAAACATAGAGGCACACAGCACAGTGAGAAAACAAAGCGATCAGAGAGGCAGGAGCACAGCATTCAGGTGCTGAGTTTGTGCTCAGCTCCCCCTGTGGTTTCTGTCACTGTGTCACTCAGAGCACAGTAGTACACAGCCGAGTCTGACTCTTGCACTGAGGCTTTCTGCAAGTGGAAGGATTTGGTTTCTTTATCATATGTGGCTTCAAACCCTCTGCTGCTTCCCTTGTCGTTGGCTTTTGAGGCTCTAAAGAGGAGCTGTGGACCTTCTCCAGGATACTGCACATACCAGAACAGGGCTGGGTAACCTGAGGCTGAATAGTTGCAGTGTATAGTAAGAAATTCATCTTCTGAGAGGACCACTTGACTTTCTGTCTGAGTCACTGAGTCTCCGTGGGTCCTTGCTGGGGTAAAAAACAAAAACAAAACAAATATATGGATATATTCAGGGCTCCAGATTTTTTTTTTTCTGACATAAAAAAAGGAAAAAGTTTAAGGTCACTTTACTTACTGAGAATGAGAAGTACCACAGTCATGAAGCCCGGAGAAGAGTTCAACTTTAGTGCCATCTCGACAATGTTCTCAATTTGTGAAAACATTGAGAAACAGTCTAAACTTAAGTTCTCACAGGAGATGCTATAGCGTTAGGATGCTGCGCCCTCTGGTGGCCAGAGAGTAACTTAAGTAAAATTTTGCATTTAAGCAAATGCAAAATTTGCTGGAAGACACTGGAAACAATGAACAATTAGTTTGGGTTGAGGGATCTGTGGTACTTCAAAGTCGTATTTTCTCTGTTCTAATAAAATGACAATTTAAAGAAAATTTTTATTAATGTTTTTCAGAAAAGAAATCACACTCTATAAAAAGTAGCCAATATTTCTAAATTTCAGGAAAAGTGAAGAAACACATAAGTTATTGAACTCTATGGAGTGACCTGAATTTTTGAAAAAGGTTCCGCTTCATGATTTCCTTGTTTTTAATAGCCGAGTAATACTCCATTGTGTAAATATGCCACAATTTCCGTATCCATTCATCCGTTGATGGACATCTGGTTGCTTCCAGATTCTGTGCATTACAAATAAAACTGCTATGAACATAGTTGAGCAAAAGTCTTTATGGAATGGTGGGGCATCTTTTGGGCATATGCCCAGGAGTGGTATAGCTAGATCTTGAGGTACTTTGGGCAGAGCATGGGGGGAATAGAAACACATGGAGGGGACAGGAGCCCCACAATGAGACCAAAAAGGGGGACCTGCAGAGACTGATGCACCAACCATGCATGGAGAGGACCTTGACCCACTATTCAGATTGGCAGCTCAGTCTGCATGTGGGTCCCTGAGAAAGGGGAGCAGGGGCTGCCTCTGCCATGAACTCAGTTGCCTGCTCTTTGATCACTTGGCCCTGGTGATGCGGCCTTGCCAGGCAACAGAGGAAGAGGAAGAGGCACTCCTGATGAGACTTGATAAGCTATGGGCAGATGGCAGAGGAAGAGAACGTCCCCTTTCAGTGGCCTAGCGGAAGGGGATAGGAGAAACAAGAAAGTGAGGGTGGGGCTGACAAGTTAAGGGATGGGGCTTCAACCAGGATATATAATGAGGAAACTAACATTTTTTGAAAAAGTTCTGCTTCTCCCTTAAAATATTTCCTGCTAGCATAAACTGACTCACTCTCTCACTCTCTGAGCTACGTCTGCATTACAGACTTCACTTTCTGTCTTCACCCTCAGTGATCTTCTCCCAGTGTTTAGGTTAAGCTCCATGTATTTAAAATATGAATCTCTTCCCTTGCTACTACTAAGAACATTCTGGGATTAAATGCAATAATGATACACATTCTTCCAGTTTCTCATTACCATTTTTATAATTGTTTGCATATGATTGTTTAAACATCATTTGTGGCCATTGTTTTAATTGTTCTTATGGGTCATTTTATATCCTAAAACAGAACTAAGTAACGAAATCTTTGTTACACATCACTTACATTTTCAACTTCTTTCTACATCACAGTGAGGTATACCAGTAGCCCATGATCATTACACCCTCTCTGCTTTAATAGAGAAATGGATTTAAGAAGTAAGCCATGTTTCTCTATCATGGCATTCTCAGTTGTGTGTGTGGGGGGAGGGGGAATGGACCATTCATAATGGACTTGCTTTTCTAGGGCAGGAGTACACAGAACCCCAGGGGAATAGGAAAAAAAATGCAGCTTGAACTACCATCCTGGTCTTTCTAGTTCTGAATTTAGTTTGTTTGCTTATTGGTGTTTTGAGATTATTATGTAATCACAATAGTTCTCCTTTTCCATTCTTCCCTCCAAACTCTCCCATGTGCCTACTCTTTCCACTCTCCTTCAAATCTATAGCCTCTTTTTTTCGTTTTTTTTAAACTAATTGTTGTTGCATGCATATAAGGAGCTATTCCTAAATACAATATATGTTTGGTCCATCTAATGTTACGCGTATGTATGAGTTCAGAGGTGACCATTTGGCACTGGACAACCAAGTCGTGTGGTCTTCCTTGGGTAAGACCATCTCTCTCGTTCTCACCTTCCTCAGTTACCTCTGCTTCTTTGTTTAGGGTTCAGTCCTCATGTGCTATTCCGTGTTGACTTTGGCATGTTCGTTAGTGTCACTCTTTTTCAGCTCACATTTCAATGGCCGTGTTAATCAGATGTTGTATGTATAATTTCTGATATTAGTAGGGGACATAATTTTCAGCAAACTCCTGATCTTCATTTTTACAGTCATTTTTTTTTTCCTCCTCTTCAATGTTCCCTGAGGCTCAGGTGCAGAGGTGTTTTTAGATGTATCCATTGGGACTGGGCTCTACAACTCTTCATTTCCATTGGTGTTGGTATTCTTTAGCGGTTTCTATCTATGGCAAAGAGACGCTTCATTGATGAGGGGTGAAGGCTACAGCTATTAGTGGGTATAGGACAATTGTTTATAGATTACTGTTAGTAGTTATGCTGGTTTCATAAAACAGTAGTTGCAGATTCTCCACAACTAACCATGACTTCACTCGCACTGAATACGTTTCCAGTGCCAGATAGGGCTTCCTTATAGTGGAGTGGGTCTGCAGTCCAATTAGAGAGCTGTTGGATCCTGCTAATGTGTGTGCCATTACTGCAGCTGTAGGATCATTGTGCCATGTTGATTGCTGATGTGGCTCATAGGCATCATAGCTGAGTAGGACTCTTTGTTGCCTTTCTCCTCTTGCATCTTGAATGGAACTTTCTTTTACCGAGAAAAATAGTCTTCTGGAGAGGGCATTCAGGTCAGTTTTAGCTTAGTGGTTTCTGGAACCTGTGTCTGAAGTGACTGGTCTCTTCAGCAATAGGCACTCACCACCTTTGGGGGTAACCAAGGTCAACAACAATGGGCTGTATGTTTTGGGAGTTCCTTGCAAGACCCTGGCACCAGCTTAAAAGAGGGTTCTTATGTATGGGATTGGAGTTTTTGTTAGGTGGTGTTTGGCTCTTGAAGGAGGCACCATCAAACTATGTGGAAACAATTATTAAAACCATGTATATGTATGTTTATGTATATATTTATATATAATATATTTTATATATTTATAATATATAATTATACAATATATGGGCATCATAATTATATATTAAGTATATAAACATATATATATATTACAGGGGTTAGCTTTTAGGCAAGTAGTTAATAACATCATTCCTTCTAGCATTTTCAGACAGTTTGCCTTTCTGGGTCTGAATTTCCTTAGTCAACATAATCTTTTTTCTATTTACCTGCAAAGTTCCTGATTTCATTTTTTCTTTACAGGTGAAGAGTGTCCCATAGTACTTCTGTATCACATGATCATTAACCATTCCTGGGTTGTACGTTTAGATTGTTTTCATTTCCTGCCTATTGTGAATAAAGCAACAATGAACATGACAGAATAAGTGTATGTGGAGTGGTACGTGAAGTCCTTTGGGCACATGCCGAAGCCTAGCGTGGTCGGGTCATATGAGATATAGTTTTTCAGCCTTTTGATAATCATCCACACTGATTTTAATGGTGGATGCACCAATTTGCAATCCCATCCAGTGAACAAGGATTGCCTTTTTCCAGTATCCACTCTAGCACTGTTTTCAGTGTTTCCATGGATATTTGTTGAAATCTCAAAATTGTTTTGATTTGCCTTGCTGTAATTTCTAGGGACCATAAGCATTTTTTTCTGGATATTTTTAGTAATTTTTTGTTGTTTCTTTTGAGAAGTCCCTATTCAGGTTCCAGGTCCATTTTTCAAATGTGTCTTTTGGGGAAGTTCATTTGTATATTCTGGCTATACAGCCTGTCAAATGTATACCTGGCAAAGATTCATTCCCATTTTATGGGTGGCCTCTTGACCCTGTTGGTTGTTTCTTAACTGTGCAGAAGCTTTTTAGTTTCACAGATTCCCACTTTTCAATTGTAGGCTTTAATTCTTGGACAACTGTCATCATATCAGAAAGTCCTTTCCCCTACGTCATATAGGTACTGGCTATATTTTCTTCTAGCATTTTCAATATTTTGCTTTTGCCATTTATATCTTTGATCAATGTAGAACTTTTTTTTGTGCTAGGTGGTTTCATACAGGGCTACTTTCATTCTTCTGCATGTAGACATCCAATTTTACCAGCACCATTTGTTGAAGATGTCTCCTCTCTCCCATCAAGTGTTTTTGGCATCTTTATCAAACATCAAGTGGCGGAAGTTACATATTCTCATGAAGGCCTTCAGTTTTGTTCCATTGGTCTACATATCTGTTTTTATGACACTACCATACTGTTTTTATTACTATCGTTGTCTGATATATCTTCAGATCTGAAATCATAGTGTTCACCAGCATTTTTCTTTTTGCTCATGCTGCTTTTTGAATCAGTTCTTTTATGATTCTATATGAATTTAAGGGTAGTTTTTTACTTTTCTGTGCAGAGTGAGATGAGGATACTGATTAGGGTTACCTTATATGTCTAAATAGCTTTTGGTATAATAGTCACTATAACAATGTCAGTTTTACCAATCCAGAAGCATGGGTGTCTTTCTACTTTCTAATGATTTTTTTTTCTATCTCCTTTTCAGAGGTTTAAAGTTTCCTTTGTAGAGTTCATTCACTTTCTTGGTGATGTTTATTCATAGATACTTTATTTCTTTAAAGTTATTTTGAATGGGAGTATGTCAATGACTTTTTTTGTATGTTTGTGGGTGGGGTATAAAAATCTATTGATTTGTGCAAATTGATGTTGGATTTTTTATAATTTCTAGAAGATTTCTGGTAGAATTTTGTGATATCTAATATATAGTATCCTATCATTTGCAAATATAGTGTGACTTCTTCTTTCAATATTTGTATCTCTTTAATTTCCTTCTCTTGACTTATTGCTTCAACTAGTACTTTAAGCACAATGTTGAAAAAGAATAGGGCTAGTAGACATTCTTGACATTTCTGACATCAGTGGGATTAATTCAAGGTTTTCTTCATTTTGGACAGTGGTTCTCAACTTTCCTAATACAGTGACCCTTTAACACAGATCCTCATGTTGTGGTGAGCCATCCCCATCATAAAATCAAAAT